TCCTCTGAACAATACCATATTATAATCATTTATATAATATTTGCATTGTACTAAGTATTATAAGGAACCTAGAGATGGCATAAGTGTACAAGATGTGCAAATTACATGCAAATACCATGCCTTTTTCCATAAGGACCTGATAGTAACCAGTTGCTTTACTTCTGGGGTCCTGAATCCCTCATGAATTGAGGGATTACTAGAAATGTAACATTTAACTCGAAATCATGATCTGAAAGCAGACTGAGCCCCAAAGGCTGGGCTTAGACTTCTTTGACTTGATTATTCCCATCCTAACCGTTGCTAGAGTGCTATTTAAACTAACTAAATTATGTTCTGAGGAAAGCCTTTCTTCCCTGTTAAAAACCTAAAATTATAGAAGTACAGCATGTAATAACGCAAATGAATCTTAGAAATCTAGTGTACTTTATTATACATGACAAAATGGTTTATAACTATGAAATAGTTGTTTTGCTTTTAGAAGGCAAAAAGTTTTACTTCTACAGATGTGTAGCAAGCAGGCACACCCAGCCAAGGTTTTGTCACTTAATATATTCTCATAGTTCCCCTTCCCTAACTCCTCCCAGATCTCCCCACCTCTCCCCCCACCCAATCCACACCCTTTCCTGCTATTTCTCATTAGAAACCTAAAATAATAATAATTAGATAAAAATCCTACAAACCTGACTAGGATAAGACAAAACAGACAGAAAAACAATAAGCCAAAGAAAAAGCACAAGAAACAAATACAGATGCAGAGACACAAGTTGGCAAACACAGAAGTCCCGTAAGAACACAAAACCAGAAACCACATATAAGCAAAAGTTCTGTAAGGTTGGGGGCGGAGCTGCCCTGCCAATGGAGAGAAATATTCTTCCAAAAATACTATTGAGTTCATTCTGTCTGCCCTCTACTGCTGGGCATGGGGCCTACCCGTAATGGTGTTTTGTACTCCCAGTGAGATGCCATTGGAGAACTAAGTTTTCATTTGGGAAGGTTTATCAATTGGAGATAGATGCCATCCAGGTTAGGAACGGGGGTTTCTGTCCACTCCTCCTCTCAACGCTAGGACCCCTTATGGCCCAGGCCTGGGGAGGGGGTGCCTGTGTGTGCTGCCACAGGCTCTGGAGTTCTTATGCGTATTGGCCCCCCGCAGTGTTTCCTTGTGTTTCTAACCTCTCCGGCTCTTACACCTTCTGCCGCCTCTCCTGCAGGGTTCCCTGAGCACAAGGGGAGGGGTATGATGGAGACATCACATCTAGGGCTGAGTGTCCCAAGGCCCCTCACTCTCTGCACACTGTCCAGCTGTGGACACCTGTATTTATTCCCCTCTACTGCAGGGGGAAACTCCCCTGATGATGGCTGATCTGTGAGTAGAGAATGTCAGAGGAATCCTGTTGCTGTGTTCTTTAGCAGAACAGCAGTATTTGGTTTTCCCCTGGGTCCCTGGCCTGTCCATTCTTGGTTCTTGGCCACCCGAGCAGTGTCGGGGATGGGCTCCATCTCCTCTGGAGTCAGATAGGGTGGCTAGTCCCCAGCTGTGTGCCACCATTGCACTGGCACACATTGCATGTAGGACACCATCGTAGATCAGATGTGTTGGAGCTGGGTTAGTGTTGACCTATTCCTTCGGTAGCATGCAGAGCACCTTCCAGCACCCTGGACAGTCGTCAGTAGGGGTGAAGGCTCTGTGAGGCACCAGCTCGACTTCCCCGTGTTCAGCGAGTTTTGTAAGAGTTGTCCTCAGCAATGGGGCCTTACCATCAGTTTGTGGAAGTGATCAGTAGCCTTAGCAATTGACTGGGTTGTAGACCAACAACTCGATTAGATGTAACCCAGTCCCAGAACTGGAGTGTTTTTTAGCAACAAAAGACGTCCAGTTGGGGCTCTGTCTCCCCCATTTCTTGGCAATTCCATTTGGATCACTTACGTATGTGCACATATTTAAGAAGCTTCTACTGTGCTGTTTCCATGTGACCTCTCAGATAGGCCTGACTTAGCTGTCTGAACTCCACCCCTCCTCCCTCCTCCCTGTTCCCTCCTCCCACTCCAGTACCCTGCATTCGTCCAGAACTCTTCTGTTGGCCTCTTCCTAGGGCAGTCAAGTCCTCCCCACAGTCCCTCACTCTAACCTCTATGGTCCTGTGGGATAACTTATCGGCTCTGACATCCACATAGAGTTGAATACATGCCATATTTGTCTTTTGGACTTGGTTATCTCACTCAGGATGGTTTTTTTTCTAGCTACATCTATTTACCTATGAGTTTTATTATTTCACTTTTTGTTTCTTTTTTCAAAACAAAGTTTTCTCTGTGTAGCCATGGATGTCCTGGAATTTGCTCTATAAACCAGCGGGCCTAGACCCAGAGATCCACCTGCTTCAGCTTCCTAAATTCTGGGATTAAAGGCGTACACCACCACACCCTGCTTTCACTGTTTTGTTGTTGTTGTGATTAAAGGCGTGCACCACCACACCCTGCTGCTTTCACTGTTTTGTTGTTGTTGTTGTTGTTGTTGTTGTTTGTTTTTGGTTTTTTGAGACAAGGTTTCTCTGTGGCTTTGGTTCCTGTCCTGGCACTAGCTCTGTAGACCAGGCTGGTCTCGAACTCACAGAGGTCCGCCTGCCTCTGCCTCCCGAGTGCTGGGTTTAAAGGCGTGTGCCACCACTTCCCAGCTGGTTTCACTGTTAACTATTCCACATTTTCCTTGTCCATTCACTGTTGACTGGCGTGTTGGCTGTTTTCAGTTTCTGGTCTGTGAGTGAGCACGATTGACCAGGCGTCTCTGAAGTAGAATGTAGAGCCCTTTGTTTTGTAAAAATCAGCTTTTAAAGTATCGTGCAAGTCAGCTTTCTAGGAGATACAAGAAACACATGGTAAGAAGAAAGGGCTTCTAAGGTGGCCCAGAAAATCTTCAGACAGCAAAAGATAGCGCCATCCACTCTCTTGAGAACATAACACATTTCAAAATTTTTAAAACAAAATCCACCACCAAAACATTTTTCCGTCTTCCTCTCCATTTCTCTTGCTAGTATCTACAGTGCAGGCGTCCATCACTCTTTGAGCATGCTCTCTCCGTCTAGTCCTGTTATCTTAGTTCTGAGCTACAGCCCCTGCTCTGCTAGCTGGGGAACGGCCATTCAAGCCTGGTTTGTTACATCCTAGTGATAAGCACTAGACTCAAACCATTTTTATGAAGATAAAATCTGATCTAACTCTAAATTAACTGTTTCTAATTGTGATGTGTGTGCGTGTGGTTATGGGCGTGTGAGTTGCAGGCACCCGCAGAGGCCAGAGATGGCAGATACCCTAGAGCTGGAGATGCAGGTGCTTGCGGGCCACCTAATATGGGTGCTAGGAATCAAACTGTCCTCTGGAAGAGCAGTGCTTGGTGTCTAACCACTGAGACCTCTCTCCAGCCCCAAATTTGATCTAATTCTAAGGTAAAGGTTACTATCCAAATTGTCTATGGTCTCCTGCACTCGAATATTTGTGAGAACTGCCTGAGCTACTATAGCCTAATGTCACTGGAATAAATTTTCTCATAATACTGATCTTTGATAAAAGAAGAATTCTTTAGTTTATTACAATACATCCTAACATTCTTTTCAAGCTGGAAGACTATTTTGTAATGTCACAGAGTATCTTAAAGTGTTAATAATAAACTAATTGCCCACTAAATCATGTTTAACCCCAGAAGCATCCAGATCCGTTACTGCACTTTGAAGTGACTCACTGTCTTTGTGGATTTCCCCTGTGGCACGTACCCTAGCACTGCCGCGTTAGTTTCACTGGCAGGGCTGCTCAGAGCTCTAGTGATCAGTGGAGTCGCGCTCTGTGTGCCGGATCATAGAACCTGAAACTACACAGGAACATTTCCCTCTGGAGAAACTTGGCATTTCAAGCTCAGAAATCGTATCCATCCCTTAATTGTGTGTGGCACGTGAGTTAGGTCTGTAGAGGAGCTCCTGGACTAGGTCTGTGCCCACATGAAGTTGGTTTAGGCTGGGCACTTCTAAAGTTTCATTCAGTATGCCACAGACACTGCCTCCTCGGTGACTTTAGTCTTTTTTTTAATATTTATTTATTAATTATTTATTATGTATACAGTATTCTATCTGTGTGTATGCCTGCAGGCCAGAAGAGGGCACCAGACCTCATTACAGATGGTTGTGAGCCACCATGAGGTGCTGGGAATTGAACTCAGGACCTTTGGAAGAGCAGGCAATGCTCTTAACCACTGAGCCATCTCTCCAGCCCAGACTTTAGTCTTTAATTACAGTATCAAACGCCAGTCATTTAAAAGAGACAGAATGACTGACAAGATTTCTAGGCAACAGGATTTGCCTTCCTTGGATGCTCTAAAGTAGGCCTTTTTGTATTTCCAGTGTCTTAAGCAGGGGGCTATCTCTAGCAGTCTTTATATTTTGCAGTAGATCAAATAAGTCACTTGTTGAAACAAAAGTTATTCATTAAATGATTTGCTTAACAGTAAGAATGTTTATCTGTAATATTTACTATGCTAATCATCTGTTGATTTTTCTCTTGATGGTGCTTTCTTGCCTTTGAGATCTAATCATAAGCACATAATTTTTTAAAAAATAAAAATAAACTTAACCAAAGTTTAGAGATGACCAAAGAAAGTATAAGATAATTTAGAAATCTCATTGAATATGGCAATTCTCAGATCCTGATTTCTTTATAGCATAGGATGCCTCCCTGCCTAGCAGATTAGAAAGTTAGCCTACTCTTCATACAAGTATGCCCTGTCCTGAAAACACTTTCCTCAGAATCCAGACCCAGGGCTGGGGCTGTAAGTAGTCCAGTGGTAGACCAGGCTTGACTAGCTAGCACACACAAGGCTTGAATTAGATCCCCAGTGCTGTCTAAAAACAAATCCAGACACAGTTAAATCTTTTTTTTAATCTTTCCCTTAAGTGATTATAAAAATGAGAGCCATTAAAGTGCATTAAAACCTTAACTTTGTTTAAATCTCTCAATAGGAACCAAGGTTACATTCTGTGAGAAGAAGCTTTTCCCATCCTTCATCTGTGGCTTTGAAACCTCGATACTCTCGAAGCCCACATTTTCATCCTAGAAAAGATTTCAGAGCAGAGGATTCAGTTTCCACTCCACCTTCCTGTACTGATTTTGTTAAGTAGACTCTTGGATAACTGTTTTGTCCAGAATAGAAAATAGCTAGGCTTCTATGTGGTCTGGTAACAAATGAGGTTTGGGATATGCTTAAAGTTAAATGTTTTTTGGTTTTTTGGTTTTTTTTTTTTTTTAGAGAATTTTTAAAATCTTAGTAGCCAGAATATGGGAGATGCAGAGCTAAATCATGGTTTCCTCATTAACTGAGACACTTAGGTAATACAGAGTTGTAAGCCATGACAAGCGGCGGTCTCTGTGAGACGCCTGTCTTCCAGCTCATAGTCTGGCTGGCCTCACAGCTCGATCTCCATACATAACCACTCAGAGTCCATTCCATAAGTTCCAGATTCGCAGACAGATCGATGCATATATAAAAACCCTTAGCAGCAGGCCGTGTCTGTAATATGGTGTAATTTTTAAACTCCGCCTTGTGAGGTGAAGCACAAATCCTAGTTCTCACACTGTTCTGGTTCACTAATTGTGTGTACTTTAGCTAAAACAAAACATTCCAACTCGACTTACTTACAGATTTTACACACATTGATATAAAAACCTGTGTTATAAAATATAAAATATCCACTAATCTGCCATATTATGGCCACTTACTGTGTAGTGGTTACTATGACCAAAATGACACTGTCCTTAAATGTTCTTTAAAATGATCTATTTCTGGCCCTCTTCCATCATTCATACATGAAGTAGAATTGTTCACGGGGCACAGCACCTTAGGGAATATAAGTATTCATAATTACATCATGTCAGATTTGATACTGTCAGTGTTTTATCTTTCATTCATTTGGTTGTGAGGCTTATAGGCTCTTAAAACATAAGAATTTACCCATAATACAATTTTATATTTAAATAAAAAGAAACTATGATTGCCTGCTGGTGTGGAATGAGAGAAGTTTCTAAAATTAAAAAATATGCCACAATAATTAAAATTTTAAATTAAAAAATTACTATCTTTTAAGTCAGTGCTGTTTACCAAATGTAACTTGTTTTAAAAAATTATTCCTTTGATAGAAGCAAGCTATTAGTAAAACAATAAAATTATATAAATCAGCAGTATTTTAATTGACTACATGGAAATTTATAACTTTAGCACAATACTCCTAAGAAATGCTAGAATTTCAGTACTTTAAATGTATATCTACTCCAAGAATTAATACTGTCTTGTACTTCTGCTGGGAAAGAGTAAGAATTATAAATAAAAAGCTCTTGTAATATCAGATATCTTATAATATCAAAAGTTCTTATAATACCCAATAATAACTTGAAAAACTTTTTTATTCTGTCTCGTAAAGGATGATGAATATACTCATGGATGTACATATATATTTGTGGTATGTAATTTAATATTTCTGGGCTAAAGTACATATGTCTGAATAAAATGTAATGGTATTGTTTAGTAGATAGTATCTTCATACATCCTAAGGCTTTCCATCTTTTTAAGACTATTTTCTTTTGCTAGTGTTAGACAGTAACATGCTATATATATTGTTACCAGAGCCCTAGCCAAAATATCATGATACAATATATTTAATACTCATCTTACCTGTTTTCAGTATATATTTTAATCCCATATTTATTATTCAATGAATATTATTCAGTGAATAGCAGGCATTTTTCCAAAAGCCTAAGAGTAATTGTATTTTGCATTTTAAAAAAATTGAAAGTGAAATGTTTTGTTAACCAGTTTAGTTCAGACAATTATGATCTCCTAAAATATTCTGTGCTCCCGCATCATCTTCACTCAATTCTGTAAAGATTATATGTTATTATATTTCTCTCTGTACACTATAAAGTGTAAAATGGAGGTAACATGAAAATATATTCATGTAATCTCAAAAGATACTATATGCTTAAGTTGTTAATACCTTGCTTATTTACAAATTAGCAAAAGTAATTTTAAAAACTATGAAATATCAGTGTTTAAGCTTTCCACTTTCAAGATCTTTTTATTGTTCTGAAACACCGCTGCATTAGCTAAAGGAGATGTCTAGTCAGCATAAGCAGTGCTGCCAAAGTACGTCCTCTTCCTTTGGGATTTGGGGATAGAAGACTAACTTCATCCATTAACAATTGAGGTGAAATTTAATACAGTGTGTTCCTTGCTAATCATATTAGGATCTGTTTTCAGCACCAAAACAGACGAGGCTGCACTATCTACTCCCATAACACTAACAACATACAAAAGTACACAGATTTCTTAAAGATAAGCATAAGCTCTCTCCCTTTGTAAAAAGGCAGGTGCTGATTAGTAAAGTTAACAGGAGTACTGTTCTTCTAGACTGGGAACTGCTGCTGGTTAAAGAAGAGTGAACATACACGCAGCAGAGCCCCGTGTCCTGGCTACATATATACTATGTACAGAGTTTGCTTTAACTGTTGAGCTCAGACATACATACCTTTACATACTGAATACTTACACTTCTACCTCAGCAAACTTAGCAGTGAGGGTTCTCAATAACTTGGTGTAACCTGACTAGCCCCCTCTCATTGCTTGGTTTTAAGTAGCGATTTTCACTATTACTCCTGTCTGTCCGTCTGAAATCCCAAAATTAAAATGAAGGTTTCTTGGCCTTTCTAGTTGACAAGGATTTTACAACATTTGATTTCTTAAAGTATATTTTACATGAGAGCTGAGACCTATATAAAGATGGCTTCACCCCACTTTGACATGAAACTCGTGTCTACAAAATAGCTACATTCCTTTCAAAATGTAAAGTTGAACACTCAGTATTTCTTTTTGCAGTTCAAAATAGTTTCTAGTTGAAAGAGATAACATCTTGACTATGTTATGAAATAAAAACTTATCAAGACTTATCTAGTAGGTGGCATTTAGATAATGGGTAATAACCACAGCCAAAAGGACCTGGTTTCTGCAGTCTTTTTAGGGAAGTTGTCATAAGAATAGATGTCATAGTTTAAACTGTTAGTAAGCAGATAAATCTTATTAATATGTTCACTTGTATTAAATTGTACATATGAAATTAAAAAAGTTCCAGTGTTTGTGGCCTCTACTAAATTCTCTAGCGTTGTTACTACAATAGTTAATTCAAATAAAAATTAATAGTGATGTTTGTCCAAACAAATGTGTAACGTATTAATTAGGAATAGTATGTCATTTTGAAATACTTAGCCTAACAACTTTATAACATCATATTTTCATTTTCAGCATAGCTTCTTAAACTTTCTCCCTTTGTGACCCCCTTTTTATCCAAGAAATTCCTATGACTCTAGTATATACATAATAGAATGTATACAAGCCAAACATTCACTGATGGTAAGTCAATATTTCCACAGCCCTTTGGTACACATATAACCTTACCATTTATTAAAGCCTGAAGCAAAGGTGTATACTAAAATGAACGTCCTTACTTATCTTTACATAAAGAATTTAGTCAACAAGATGTCTCTGTGTAACCCTGGCAATCTGAATTCAATCTTGAGAAGCCCTGGAGAGGTCCAGCTTCGCAGGTTCTCACCTACTATGTACAGACATGCCATCACATGTGACAGGACACATCATGCACACACACAGGCAGTAGAAATGTCTACATCTTTAGGAGTGCAGTCTTGGCTGAATGGCTGAGAGTAGAAGATAGAAGCTTCAGACTGTAAAACCAATACTGAGAATGCTACTCCATAGAAATACATAATGCAGCATGGCAGAACGCTTAAATTACATCAGAAATGCTGGAAATCTGACCTAATCCATAACCGAAATTCATTGTATTTATTTTTGGTTTTGATTTTCAAGACAGGGTTTCTCTGTGTAGTCCTGGCTGTGCTAGAGCTCACTTTGTAGACCAGGCTGGCCTTGAACTCAGTGATCCACCTGCGGGATTAAAGGTGTGTGCCACCACTGCCTAGCTCAACTTTTTAAAAAAAATCAAAATCAAGTCAGCAACTCTAACAGCAATTTTTATTTTTATTTTACTATTTGGTCTTTCTTTTCTATTGCTGTGATGGGACACCGTGAACCCGAGGGTTAGATGGTGGAGTTAGGCTTGGGCAGCAGCCGAGAGCTCACAGCTTGATCCACAGACAGGAGGCAGAGAACACATTGGGAATGGCAGTCCACCCTTGATGCTTGAAGCTGAAGGGAGTTAGATTATGAAAGTGCGAACAAAAACTTACAAAGCACCGTTTTCGTGAAACATGGTATATTCACTAATTTCTTATATATCCCAAACCTGCTTCTATTTTGATGCAACTTTAAGCGATTCTTAGGAACTATCTAGCCTCCAGCTTTTCTTTGACACGACTCCTTTATTATTTTCAGGAGAGCTGTAAGTCCTAGAACGCAGTGGTTGTCCTCAGCCCACTTCCTAGTGGGCAGCATAGTGAATTGTAGGTCAAAAAAATTGTTCACAGTAGAAGGTTTCTGAACACACAACCAAAAGTCTATTGAAAACGTGCGAGGAACCCAAGTACCTCTTGCCTCACCAACCCATCCCCAGGAGAAGGAGCAGTGGCCCACTATGTTCTGTTCACTGTACAATGGTTACTTTAACTTCTCCTCTGGGGTCTCTTTTAGGGAGCCCTGGAGAAAGCTCTGAATCCCTGACATCCTGAACACCCATCATTTTCTCCCTCCAACATTTCCTTCAGTAAATGTTACTCAACAGCTCTAAATAAGGTGCTCATAATCAAACTTTAGTAACAAGTTAAAAGGAAAAGACAGGCATGGCGACACAGCTCACACCAGCACCTGAAAGGCAGAGGCAGACTGATGAATTTGAGGCAAGCTTAAACTATATAATGAAACCTGTCTCAGAAAGAGAAGTGATGAACAAAAATTAATTTGACATAAATATATTAACAATTATTACATAATATCCCCTGATATATATCAAAAGCAATCGTATGAGGTAAATTATGGATAAGTCAGGAAATATAAAGAGAACACAGATGAATTGTACATATAGTCATTACTACAATTAATATTTGTAATACAGTGTACCTAGAGGGCTTTATGGTTTATCATATACATAACCTGTTATAATTAACTTATTGTACATGTCATTTTTAGTAATTTCAAGATGAGAATTCTAGTATCTTTGTGTTGTTAAATAGCAGTGGTTCCAAAGTTATCCTTTAAGGAAACAGTAAAATTCTGAAGCTCTGTGACCTTAGATGGCTAAAGCCACACTAGTAATGCGTTGAATGTGTGAGATCAGCGCCATCTACTGGACGAAGTGTGGTACTACAAAGCACAACTGAGAATGAACATGGGCAAGAGTCATATAGCCTAGGACTCGGGCTCCTAACGCTCTAGGGAAAGAATCACTTTAACCGGAGACCCGCGGTGTCTAGCAGAGCAGGGCTGACAGCCTGGGGAGCAGCAGCCATGAGCGCCGGTCTAGGCCATGGTTTGGGAGAAGGCACAATGAGAAGGAACAGTATCAGAAACTGGGCCCTTCCTCAACTAGCCTCCTCAGAGACTCTGGCAAACGAAGAACAGTGGTTAGTGGCACCGAGAAATGAAAAGGGTGAGTTGTTAATGGTACCTGAATGGCTCTTAAGGACTCGGGAGGTTTAGGTACTCATCGGATACAATGCTTCCTAAACACGACTTTAACTTTCCTGAACATGCAAGAAGAATACATTGGCTCTTTTCCCATCGGCCAGTAAGGACTGAGCCTCTAGGTCCTGTGGGCTTTCACTAGCCAAGTCCTGGATTGGTCCAGCCTTGGAAACAAAAGCCCAGTGTCCGGTCCCAGCTCTCTCCCTTCAAAGGGACAGGGGTGTCCATAGAATCGAGGTAGGAAGTAGAGCTCTCTAAGGCCTCTCTCTGCGCCAGAGACCCCGAGTCTCGACAGCAGCTTGTCGGCTAAGTTCGGAGTAACGGGCTGAAGCAAAGTTCCAAAAACTCGCAAACATTCCAAGGCCACGTGAAGCACAGTACCCAGCCAAGGGGCGTCCGCAGGGCTTTCCCAGGTCAGTTTCCACGGCGCATGCCTTTGAACGAACCCATTAGTTTGCCGAACACAGCTGGATACGGCCTCCAAAGCCTTATAGATCTGAAAGTCGTCGTAATAGTTGGCCACCTGCTTGGGCAAAGTGGCCACTGCCCTCACGAGCGCATAGTCTTCCGCCTGCACACGAACCGACGGCCCCGTTAGTCCCGGCTCGCTGGGGAAACAAGCAGTGCAGAAAGCCGGGTAGGTCCCGGAAGGATTTATTCTGTGGGCAGTGCACCGGTTTAAAAGCCCGCCCAAGGCATCTGCCAGCTCGGAGTCCAGCAATTTGACCACCTTTTCATCGTAGTAGTCGCAGTCCCAGTTGGGAACTCCCTGCCGGAGGAGGAAGTAGCGGAAGCCATCCACAGTATAGCGGTCCAGGCAAGCCCTGGGATCCACCACGTTGCCCAAGCTCTTGGACATCTTTTGGCCACTCACCGTCCAATGCGAGTGGACATAGATGCGACGCGGTGGCCTCAATCCGGCCCCGAGGAGAAGGGCAGGCCAATAAATGGCATGAAACTTAAGAATGTCCTTACCTATGACGTGAGATGTGGCTGGCCACCAAGACTTGAAATCTGCATCTGGGTAGCCAAGTACGGTCAGGTAGTTGACCAGGGCATCCAGCCACACGTAGATAGTCTGCGAATCGTCCCCGGGAACCGGAATGCCCCAGTGCAGGTGGCTACTCCTTCGAGAAACGGACAAATCAGGCAGCTCCTCCTCCAGCCACTGCAGAACGGTCTGGTGGAACGGCTCCGGGGTGATCGCCTGAGGGTCGTTTTGAAGCCACCGCTGGAGCGGTTCTCGAAACTGGGAGAGCCTGAAGATGTAATTTTCTTCCTTGGTCCAGGAGACGGGATGTCCGCTCTCCAGAGACACAGGACGCTGCTCCCCGGACGGACCCACCAGCCGAGTGACCTTGGCCTCGGGCAGGAAGCACTCGTCGGAGGCGCAGTACCAGCCCTCGTAAAGTCCTTTGTAAAGCAGACCCCGGGCCTCCAGCAAGCGCCAGAAGTGCTGCACCGCCTCCCGGTGCCGGGCCTCCGTGGTGCGGATGAAGTCGGTGGACGAGATGCCAGCCTCCAGGAAAAGCTGCCGGAACTGGGCAGACACGCGATCGCAGAGCTCGATCGGGGCCAGGCCCGCGCCGGCTGCCGCCTGCTGGATCTTCAGGCCGTGCTCGTCCGTGCCGGTGGAGAACCGCGTGGCCGCGGAGCCGGGAACCCGGAGACGCCGGTGGCGGCACAGGGCGTCGGCCAGCAGCGCCGAGTACAGGTGCCCGATGTGCGGCGCGGCGTTCACGTAGAAGATGGGCGTGGTGAAGTGGGCCCGCCCCTCCCCGGCGTCGCCGCGGGCGCCCGGCGAGCACGAACCGTAGCGGCGACAACCGCGGGCCGCCCGGGTCCGAGCCAGCAGCCGCAGCATGGTGCCCGCCGGCTACGGCCGCCCAGCGCGTGAGAGGGCGCGTGCGCCGCCGGACCGCACCGCCGCTTCCGGCGCGGAAGCCAATGAACGGCGAGCGCCGGCTCCTGCGGCCCCGCCCACAGCTCCACCCCCCTTAAGGCTTCCTGCGGCGCGCAAGGGCTGCTGGTCGGCGGGAGGATTTGAGAGCTCGGCTGCTGGGGTCCCGGGGTCCCGGGGTCCGAGTCGGGGCGGGCGAGCGGGCGCGTCCTGCGTGTCGTGTTTTGAGCTGCAGTTTTACACGCTGGGATCCGTTTCCGCTTCTGGACTGAGCTTGCGGGCAGGATTTTTATACTGAGGCATTTCCACAAACTCATTAGCTAGCATATTGGGGAACCCAAATCCAGCCTCTCCGGATACTCTAATCAGCATCTGAAAAGCCAGTTAGATTTTATCTCAGAATCTAAACGAATACGAAAAGAAGGAAAGTGATTTCCGGGAGCGCTTTAGGGACAGAAAAACACTGGGGAAAAGTGTGGGTAACCAACCACTATCTCCATGCAATGAGACCCGTCCCTGACACTTCTCAGATGGCCAAGACCCTGAGACTAGACAGGCCCTGCCTCTACTGAACCATCAAATACTATTGTTCTGCTGAAGGAACAAAGTAAAGTGAGTCCTCACAGCATCCACATAATAACATAACCGGTGTCTCAGCCATCATCAGAGAAGCTTCCTCTGCAGGAGACCGGAGCACACAGAGACCCACACCGCACAGTGTGCAGAGTGAGAGGCCATGGTAGGATGTCTCTGTTACCCCTCCTCTAGGACTGCTCAGGGACCTGGGAGGAAGAGAAGGTAGGACCCAGTGAGGGGAGAAGACACCAAGAAAACAGCGCCTTCCAGACAGGACTGACACTCAGACACGGGGCAGACAGGGTCCCAGCGCTGAGCGGGGACGTGGACACAAGCTCACATCCCCAACCCCGAAGCTGTCTCCAGCTGACAACTGCTTGCAAAAAAACAAAGTTAGTTTCTCCACTTGAGTCTTACTAGTTGTCCGAAGCCCCCACGCGCAGTAGAAGATGGCCAACACAAAGCGAACTCGGCACTGTCTTGGAGATGCTGTGTTTCATAACGCCTTGCCTGGGCAGCTTTACCTTACTTGCCTTTTGCTTATCTATTATAGTTTCCGAATTTGTGTTTTTATTGTGTGGGGGGGCGGGGTGTATATGTGTTTCTCCTACTTTGTTTTTGTTTTCTTTTGTTTCTGTCTGTTTGCTTTGTTTTATTCTTGTTTGTTGTTGGAGTTTTTTGTTTGGTTTGTTTTCTTTGGTGTGGTTTTTTTTGTTGTTGTTGTTTTTGGTTTTTCAAAGACAAGACCCTGTCTCAAAAAAAAA